ATTTTATTATGCCCCTTGTAGCACTCAGTTTATGTAGTAAGAAGAAGAAAAATTAAAACTTTAAGGGATTATGTACTGTACAGTCTAGAGAAACTGTTACAAAAATGTGTAAGAGTGGACTTTTACACACATATTGATGAAAACACATTGAACAAATTGTAATATAAATATCCACATGTTCATTAACAGTAGAATGAATAAACAAATGGTGATATATTTATGCACTTAATTGCTATACAGAAGCAGCTCTCAAAATAAAGCTCAGGGATCCCTGAAGCTCCTGAAACACTTTCAGGGGGTCTACAAGGTAAAAACCATTTTCATGATAATACTGAGATATTATTCATCTTTTTTTTTTTTTTTTACTGTATTGACACGTGTCCTGAAGTTACAAAAATAATGGTGGGCAAAACTCCTGGTGCATTAGCATAACTCAATTAGTGGCCTCAACCAAGTACTAGTAGGCATTAGTCATCCTATTCTTTACTGCCACACATTTCCAGTGGAAAAAAAGAAAAAAAGAAATTCAAGTTTTATTTAAGACTGTCATTGTTGAAGCTAAAAATAATCATTTATTTCACTAAACCTCCATCCTATGATCCTATGATACTCTTCTTTTTTAATGACCAGTGTGACAAAAAGGAAACTGCACAAATCCCTTCTTGTGCCTACCAAAATATGAGGGTCGTCTCAAAGGGAAACAGTGACATATTATTTGAGTTGTCAGTTTATTATCCCCTTTTTATGGAATGCCCATTTTACTTAAAATAATGACTGACAGATAAACTATGGCTATTTACACTTGAGTATTTGATGTATGTTTTCTCAAAAAAAAATGACTCTGACTTGTCACTTCATGCAAAAACTGACAGGATTTATTTTCAATGATAAAATCTGAGCTTTCACAAAATAAAAATAAGAATTTAGAAAACTTCAATCTACCACTGTAATCTTTACAGCTTCCACAATTTAAAGATTTTTCTGAGACCAGTGGCAATAAAAATAAATGTTATGTTTTGATATTGTGTAATAAAATGTATAAGCATTTGGAAGATCTCTACAACTCTGTGAACCAACATTTTTCAGATGACCAATGCATGATAGTTAAAAAAAAATGCGTGCGTAAAAAAGATCTATCATAAGGGCAAGGTGGATCAATGGGTTTTGATGTTACAGGGTACAAAATATCCATTGATATAGTTTTGAATTCAATGTTACAACTAACTTGACATGTTTTGGGTAGTATCAAGGAAGAGTATCCACTTTTATCTGCAAAAGTTATAAGAATACTCCCCCGACTTTCAACTACATACCTAAATGAAGCTAAGTGTTTTTCATATCCATCAAATAAAACAACATATTGCAAAATAGTGAATAAAGAAGCAGATATGAGAAACTGGGTGCTTTCTACCAAGGCAAACGTTAGAAGAGTTAAAAAAAATACAATACAATGTATTCTTATTTTTTTGTTATTTCTATGGAAAATGTCACTTCTTATTAAAATATCATTTATGTCAACATGTAATGGG